TTTCTCCTTTCTCTCCGGTCTCAGGGCGGTGGGCACTTTTGCGCGAGCCCTCGACTGCAGCAGCTCCATCCGTCAGCCCAGCCTTCACATGAGCGCGGCGGCTGCTTCTCGGGATATCACGCTGGTGAGGATGGGCGGTTGCTTTCCTTCCTTCCTTCCTTCCTTCCTTCCTTCCTTCCTTCCTTCCTTCCTTCCTTCCCTCCTTCCTTCCTTCCTTCCTCCCCTCCAATCTTCCTTCCCCGTCCAATCTTTCTTCCTTCCTTCTTTCCTTCCTTCCCCCTCCAATCTTCCTTCCTTCCTTCTTCGCATTCCCATCTCTCTCCTTCCTTCTTTCCTTCCTCCCCTCCAATCTTCCTTCCTTCCTTCCTTCCTTCCTTCTTTGCATTCCCATCTCTCTCTTTCCTTCTTTTCTTCCTTCCTTCCCCCTCCAATCTTCCTTCCTTTCTCTTTCTTTCTCTTTCTCCTCTCTCCCCTTCTCTCTCTGTTTCTTTCTCTATCGGTCTCTCTTTTTTCTCTTTCCTCTCCCCTTCCTTTCCTTCCCTCCCCTCCTCTCTCTTAGTCCTTCCTTCCTTCCTCCCATTCTTCCTCTTCTCTCCTCTTCCTTCCCTTCCTTTCCCTTCCCATTCTTTTTTCTTTTCTCTCCTTCCTCGTCTTCTCCCCTCCCCTCTCTTTGATTTCAGCCTGTTCTCTTTTGCCATGGCTAAAACCTTTAATTAAAAAGTACAGAAGAAGAAGAAGAAAAAAAAGCGAGGGATTCTCACACCACAGACCTCGCTCCGCGGTTTCTCTGCCCGTGACAAGGCCACCGCTCACTGCTTGCCTGTTCTCTTCCCCCCCCCCCCATCCTCTCTCGGTCGCCAGTTTCACGCAATGGACACCCTGCAGCGTAACGGCTACGACCTCGCCAAGGCCATGTCGACTCTGGTGCCCCAGGGCGGGCCCGTGCTGTGCCGGGACGAGATGGAGGAGTGGTCCGCTTCGGAAGCCATGTTGTTTGAGGAGGCCCTGGAAAAATACGGGAAAGACTTCAACGACATTCGGCAGGACTTTGTGAGTGCGATTGTGGCTCTGGGCTCCTGGTTACAAAAGGATCTTTTTTTTCTTTTCTTTTTTAAATTACAAAATTTTATTTGCAATACAATTAAAAAACATTGGATATAACGTGACACCCCAGTATATACAGTCTTATCAAATTATTCCACATTTTACAATCGATGCTTCATCTCAAGATATACATCTAAGTTTTATATACAGTACTTATTCTAAAACAACATATATTTCTTATCTTAACACTAGTCTTTAATCCCAACCGTCCTCCTCGAATCCCTCCAGCGGTAAAATTTATCCCAGGTTTCGAAATAAACTGATCCACATTTGTCTTTCAATACCATTGTGAGCCTGTCCGTTTCCGCACATGCTAATATTTTATATAGTAACTCTTCCTCTGTGGGGATTTCTATGCTCTTCCATTTTTGCGCAAACGCAAGGCTTAGCTGCAGTCAAGATGTGTAACAGCAAATAGATTGTTCCCTTATCGTATTTCTCTGTCGCTATTCCCAACAAGAAGAGTTCAGGTTTTAACTCTTAAGTCCAATATTAATATATCTTTCAACCAACTTCACGTCCTGTTCCAATACTCACGAGCCTTTGGGCATTCCCACCACATCTGGTAATATGATCCTATTGCTGATTTACATTTCCAGCATAAAGGTGAGATATTTGGACTGATTTTGGCTAACCTTGCGGGTGGGAAGTGCCATCTATAGAACATCTTGTAAAGATTTTCCTTGTACGAGGTAGCTAGAGTGAGTTTCCTGTTTCTTTCCCACAGTTCTTGCCAAATATGCAGGTCAATACTGAAACCAAAATCCCTACTCCAAATTAACATAGGATCTTCTTGCCTTGCAAGCCCAACATTGCCGTTGCAAAGCGCGCTCTGCCCCGTTTTACGTCCTTGCGGGCCCCGACTGCTAAGCGAAATCACTGCAGTTGTTAAATGAGCAACAACTAATTAAGGGAATCTTGGCTCCCCCGCCCCCGCTGACTTTGCTGGTCAGAAAGTCGCAAAAAGGGGATCACGGGACCCCGTCATAAACACGAGTCAGCTACCAAGCCATCCCCATTTTGGTCACGTGACCCTGGGGACGTTGCGAGCGTCGTAAGGCTGAAAAACGGTCGTCAAAACGGTTGGGAGTTTTTGATCCCGTGACCGGTCCTAGAAACGTCATAAGTGAATTTTCAGTGCTATTTTGTAACCAAAGAGTCACTGAATGAATGGCTGTAAGTTGAGGAACATCTGTATTTCTGGTTTGGGGCGAAACCAGCCATTGCAAACCATAGCCTGGTGTTGGTTTAATGACGGCCAGGCCAAGAAAGAGGGCAAAATAGTTAGAAACCCCCCCCCCCCCCACACACACACACTTTTCAGCCATCTTGGTCAGGATCCATTATGGTTATTACTCAAGGACTACCCATATGGATTTTTTTGATTATTAGCTGGACTAAACCCTGGAAGAGCCNTTTCTCCTTTCTCTCCGGTCTCAGGGCGGTGGGCACTTTTGCGCGAGCCCTCGACTGCAGCAGCTCCATCCGTCAGCCCAGCCTTCACATGAGCGCGGCGGCTGCTTCTCGGGATATCACGCTGGTGAGGATGGGCGGTTGCTTTCCTTCCTTCCTTCCTTCCTTCCTTCCTTCCTTCCTTCCTTCCTTCCTTCCTTCCTTCCCTCCTTCCTTCCTTCCTTCCTCCCCTCCAATCTTCCTTCCCCCTCCAATCTTTCTTCCTTCCTTCTTTCCTTCCTTCCCCCTCCAATCTTCCTTCCTTCCTTCTTCGCATTCCCATCTCTCTCCTTCCTTCTTTCCTTCCTCCCCTCCTTTCTTCCTTCCTTCCTTCCTTCCTTCCTTCCTTCCTTCCTTCCTTCCTTCCTTCCTTCCTTCCTTCCTTCCTTCCTTCTTTGCATTCCCATCTCTCTCTTTCCTTCTTTTCTTCCTTCCTTCCCCCTCCAATCTTCCTTCCTTTCTCTTTCTTTCTCTTTCTCCTCTCTCCCCTTCTCTCTCTGTTTCTTTCTCTATCGGTCTCTCTTTTTTCTCTTTCCTCTCCCCTTCCTTTTCTTCCTTCCCCTCCTCTCTCTTAGTCCTTCCTTCCTTCCTCCCATTCTTCCTCTTCTCTCCTCTTCCTTCCCTTCCCTTCCCATTCTTTTTTCTTTTCTCTCCTTCCTCGTCTTCTCCCTTCCCCTCTCTTTGATTTCAGCCTGTTCTCTTTTGCCATGGCTAAAACCTTTAATTAAAAAGTACAGAAGAAGAAGAAGAAAAAAAAGCGAGGGATTCTCACACCACAGACCTCGCTCCGCGGTTTCTCTGCCCGTGACAAGGCCACCGCTCACTGCTTGCCTGTTCTCTCCCCCCCCCTTCTCTCTCGGTCGCCAGTTTCACGCAATGGACACCCTGCAGCGTAACGGCTACGACCTCGCCAAGGCCATGTCGACTCTGGTGCCCCAGGGCGGGCCCGTGCTGTGCCGGGACGAGATGGAGGAGTGGTCCGCTTCGGAAGCCATGTTGTTTGAGGAGGCCCTGGAAAAATACGGGAAAGACTTCAACGACATTCGGCAGGACTTTGTGAGTGCGATTGTGGCTCTGGGCTCCTGGTTACAAAATTTTATTTATAATACAATTAAAAAACATTGGATATAACGTGACACCCCAGTATATACAGTCTTATCAAATTATTCCACATTTTACAATCGATGCTTCATCTCAAGATATACATCTAAGTTTTATATACAGTACTTATTCTAAAACAACATATATTTCCTATCTTAACACTAGTCTTTAATCCCAACCGTCCTCCTCGAATCCCTCCAGCGGTAAAATTTATCCCAGGTTTCGAAATAAACTGATTCACATTTGTCTTTCAATACCATTGTGAGCCTGTCCGTTTCCGCACATGCTAATATTTTATATAGTGACTCTTCCTCTGTGGGGATTTCTTTGCTCTTCCATTTTTGCGCAAACGCAAGGCTTAGCTGCAGTCAAGATGTGTAACAGCAAATAGATTGTTCCCTGATCGTATTTCTCTGTCGCTATTCCCAACAAGTAGAGTTCAGGTTTTACCTCTTAAGTCCAATATTAATATATCTTTCAACCAACTTCGCGTCCTGTTCCAATACTCACGAGCCTTTGGGCATTCCCACCACATCTGGTAATATGATCCTATTGCTGATTTACATTTCCAGCATAAAGGTGAGAGATATTTGGACCCATTTTGGCTAACCTTGCGGGTGGGAAGTGCCATCTATAGAACATCTTGTAAAGATTTTCCTTGTACGAGGTAGCTAGAGTGAGTTTCCTGTTTCTTTCCCACAGTTCTTGCCAAATATGCAGGTCAATACTGAAACCAAAATCCCTACTCCAAATTAACATAGGATCTTCTTGCCTTGCAAGCCCGTTGCTCAGCGAGGCCGTTGCGAAGCGCGCTCTGCCCCGTTTTACGACCTTGCTGGCCCCGACTGCTAAGCGAAATCGCTGCAGTTGTTAAATAAGCAACAACTAATTAAGGGAATCTTGGCTCCCCCCCCCCCGCTGACTTTGCTGGTCAGAAAGTCGCGAAAAGGGGATCACGGGACCCCGTCATAAACACGAGTCAGCTACCAAGCCATCCCAATTTTGATCACGTGACCCTGGGGACGTTGCCAGGGTCGTAAGGCTGAAAAACGGTCGTCAAAACGGTTGGGGGTTTTTGATCCCGTGACCGGTCCTAGAAACGTCATAAGTGAATTTTCAGTGCTATTTTGTAACCAAAGAGTCACTGAATGAATGGCTGTAAGTTGAGGAACGTCTGTATTTCTGGTTTGGGGCGAAACCAGCCATTGCAAACCATAGCCTGGTGTTGGTTTAATGACGGCCAGGCCAAGAAAGAGGGCAAAATAGTTAGAAACCCCCCCCCCCACACACACACACTTTTCAGCCATCTTGGTCAGGATCCATTATGGTTATTACTCAAGGACTACCCATATGGATTTTTTTTATTATTAGCTGGACTAAACCCTGGAAGAGCCAGGATTTATAGGACCAGCCCCTCCCCTCTTTCGTGGGGAGGGCGTCCTTTTCAAACCCACCCTCCTCTCTCTTGACAGCTGCCCTGGAAGTCCTTGGCCAGCATCGTGCAGTTCTACTACATGTGGAAAACCACAGACCGATACATCCAGCAGGTGAGGAAGGGTCTTCCTGCAGCTCCTTTTTTGGAGAGGGGGTGATTCCCTTCCTTCCTGGAGGGGGGAGGAGGGTGCATTTTTCTGGAGACCCTTTTTTTGGGACGGCCCAATTCATCCTTTCCCGTTTCCTTTTGCCGCGCAGAAAAGGTTGAAAGCGGCCGAAGCCGACAGCAAGTTGAAACAAGTATACATCCCAACCTAGTGAGTATCCCCATCTTGGGGGGGAGGGGGTTTGAAGGGGTCTTATTTCTCCCCAGCAAACTGCCTTGGGACACCCACTCAGCTCCCAAGACCCAGGAGAAAATTTAAGAAAAAACAATGTGAGCAGGGGGAGGTCTACGTATCAAATGCCAGCTCTTGTTTATTCCAGACTTAGGGATCAAATTCTTGTGCCCTGCTCCCCCTTTCCCACCAAGGGGTAGAAGCACATCTGTGATTCTCCGTCAGTGGGGTGGATTCCACCGGTCCCTTTTTTTTTTTTTTTTTTGATTGCAGCCAGATCTGGGATCAGTAGAAGCACATCTTTGTAATTCAGGGTTCAAATTAGGGGTCCTTGGCGCTCTCTGAGTTTGGTGGGTTTTTGGCAGATGTTTCATGACCCAAACTAGGTAACATTATCAGGGCTAGAAAGAATGGGGATGATGGAGGAGGAGGAGGAGAAATAATAATAATGATGATGATGATGATGATGGGTCCTTGATGCTGTCTGAGCTTAGTTGTTTTCTTGCAGACGTTTCATAATCCAACTAGGTAACATTATCACTGATAGAAGGGGGGGGGTTGAAGAGAGGAGGAGGAGGAGGAGAGGGAGGAGGAATAATAAATAATAATGATGATGATGTTGGGTCCTTGATGCTCTCTGAGCTTGGTCGTTTTCTTGCAGACGTTTCATGATCCAACTAGGTAACATTATCAGTGCTAGAAAGAATGGGGATGGAGGAGGAGGAGGAGAAATAATAATAATGATGATGATGGTGGTGGTGGTGGTGATGATGATGATGATGATGATGATGGGTCCTTGATGCTGTCTGAGCTTAGTTGTTTTCTTGCAGACGTTTCATGATCCAACTAGGTAACATTATCATTGATAGAAGAGGGAGGGGTTGATGAGAGGAAGAGGAGGAGGAGGAGATGGAGGAGGAATATTAAATAACAATAATGATAATGATGATGTTGGGTCCTTGATGCTCTCTGAGCTTGGTCGTTTTCTTGCAGACGTTTCATGATCCAACTAGGTAACATTATCATTGCTAGAAAGAATGGGGATGGAGGAGGAGGAGGAGAAATAATAATGATGATGATGATGATGGTGATGATGATGATGATGATGATGATGGGTCCTTGATGCTGTCTGAGCTTAGTTGTTTTCTTGCAGACGTTTCATGATCCAACTAGGTAACATTATCAGTGCTAGAAAGAATGGGGATGGAGGAGGAGGAGGAGAAATAATAATGATGATGATGATGATGATGATGATGGGTTCTTGATGCTGTCTGAGCTTAGTTGTTTTCTTGCAGACGTTTCATGATCCAACTAGGTAACATTATCATTGATAGAAGAGGGAGGGGTTGATGAGAGGAAGAGGAGGAGGAGGAGATGGAGGAGGAATATTAAATAACAATAATGATAATGATGATGTTGGGTCCTTGATGCTCTCTGAGCTTAGTCGTTTTCTTGCAGACGTTTCATGACCCAACTAGGGAACATCATCAGTGCTGGAAGGAGTGAGCTTTGTTCTCCCAGTCTTCCAGCACGGATGGTGTCACCTAGTCCGGTAACGCAACGTCTGCAAGAAAACCAGCAGGCGCCCCACAGATCTGGGATCCGGCTGTTGGCTTTGGACCCTGTGAAAGTCAGGGTCCAAACGTAGCTGACTTGTGTTCCCCCCCCCCGTGCCTTTTTTGCTCTCTCTCTCCCCTTCCCCAGTACAAAACCGAACCCGAACCAAATCATCTCCGTGGGCTCCAAGCCCGGAATGAACGGCGCCGGCTTCCAAAAAGGGCTGACCTGTGAGAGCTGCCACAGTAAGTTTCCGCCGAGGAATCGGGGTCGGCCTCTTCCTTCTGCTGGACGCGGGGCCCACATCGTCTCTCCCTCCGCCCCAGGCACCCGAGGAGACCGTTTGGGCTGAGCCCCTGCGGCCGGCGGGGTGGGGTGGGGGGATGTTGATGATGAGGTCCTCATTTGGCCCCCTCTCTTCCCCCACCCCCCACAGCCACCCAGTCAGCCCAGTGGTACGCCTGGGGCCCTCCTAACATGCAGTGCCGCCTCTGCGCCTCTTGCTGGATCTACTGGAAGAAGTACGGGGGCCTGAAGACGCCGACGCAGCTCGAGGGAGCTGCCCGCAGCATCACAGTAAGACCGAGACACACACACACACACACACACACACACACACACACCCTTGTGGCTTTGTGTGAGAGGCTGGGAGCTGGCTCAGGACATGCATTTGGTTGGATGCTGGTTGCCAATGAGGGCCGCCACAGGAATTAATTAGTCTGCTTAATTGGGAAGGCACCTGTGTGCCATGTTCCCCACCGTGGTTATTTTTTTATACATACCTCAAGGGTGGGTGGACTCACAAGTCAATATCCAACATGCTTTGCTTCACCCTCTTTTACCTATAACAACAAACCTATGAGGTGCGTTGGGCTGAGGGAGGGATGCAGCTGGCTCTCCTGGCTAAGGTGGGACTAGAACTCACCGTCTCCTGGGGATTGGCCCAGAGTCACCCAATTGGCTTTCATGGCTAAGGCGGGACTAGAACTCCCCGTCTTCTGGTGATTGGCCCATGATGAAGGCTTTCATGCCTAAGGCGGGACTAGAACTCACTGTCTCCTGGTGATTGGCGCAAAGTCCCCTAGCTGGCTTTCATGCCTAAGGTTGGACTAGAATTCACCGTCTCCTAGTGATTGGCCCATGACGAAGGCTTTCATGCCTAAGGCGGGACTAGAACTCACCGTCTCCTAGTGATTGGCCCACGACGAAGGCTTTCATGCCTACGGCGGAACTAGAACTCAACGTCTCCTGGTGATTAGCCCATGATGAAGGCTTTCATGCCTAAGGCGGGATTAGAACTCACCGTCTCCTGGTGATTGGCACACGACGAAGGCTTTCATGCCTAAGGCGGGACTAGAACTCAACGTCTCCTGGTGATTGGCCCATAACGAAGGCTTTCATGCCTAAGGCGGGACTAGAACTCAACGTCTCCTGGTGATTGGCTCAAAGTCACCTAGCTGGCTTTCATGCCTATGGCGGGACTAGAACTCATCGCCTCCTGGCGATTGGCCCACGACGAAGGCTTTCCTGCCTACGGCAGGACTAGAACTCACCGCCTCCTGGCGATTGGCCCACAACGAAGGCTTTCCTGCCTACGGCGGGACTAGAACTCACCGTCTCCCAGCTTCTAGAATGTTGGCTCCGTCCCTAGGCCAAACTTCTCACCCGAGCCCCCTTATGACGTCCGTCCCTCCTCCTCCTCCTCCTCCCCAGGAGCCCCACTCTCGGGGCCACACGTCTCGGCCGGAAGCCCAGAGCCTCTCGCCCTACACCACCAGCGCCAACCGGGCCAAGTTGCTGGCGAAAAACCGGCAGACCTTCCTCCTGCAGACCACCAAACTGACCCGCATCGCGCGACGTATGTGCCGGGATATCTTGCAGCCACGGCGGGCCGCCCGGCGCCCTTACGCGCCCATCAACGCCAATGCCATCAAGGCTGAGTGTAGGTGGGGCCGAGGGAGGGGGGGGCAGGCCGGAAGAAGCGGGTGGGTCTCACGGGAGCTGTGGCTTCTTTCCCCTCCAGGCTCCATCCGGCTTCCCAAGGCGTCCAAGACGCCCCTGAAGATCCATCCTTTGGTCCGTCTTCCTCTGGCGACCATTATCAAGGAGCTGGGTAAGGGGTCTCTGCTGAGGTTGGGTTCTTTCTCGGGGCGGGAACGGTCCCCCTTCCTCATTTCCCAGACACGCATCAGCGGAATAAGATATCCCTCCCCAGTGCAGCCTCTTGGAAGGGAGGAGGTCAGAGAAAGAGGGAGGAGAAGGGGCCAGGTACAGTGGGAAAAGAGGGAGGAAGATGGGTGGATGGATGGGAGGGAGGGAGGGAGGCAGGGAAGGAAGGAAGAAAGGAAGGAAGATGGAGGGAGGAAAGGAAGGAAGGAACAAAAAGACAAGAAAGAGAAAAAAAGCAAGAACGCGAGAAAGAAGAAGGAAGGAAGGAGAAAAAGCAAGAAAAGGGAAGGATGGGAAGGAAGATGAAGGGAGGCAGGAACAGAAAGATAAAAAAAGCAAGAGAAAAGAAGGAATGAAGGAGAAAGCAAGAAAGGAAGGATGACAAGGAACGAAAGCAGGAACAAAAAGACAAAGACAGAAAGCAAGAAAGAGCGAGAGAAGAAGGAAGGAAAGAGAAAGAAAGCAAGAAAGGAAGGAAGGATGGGAAGGGAGGAAGATAAAGGAAGGAAGGAAAGCAGGAACAGAAAGACGAGAGACAAAAAGCAAGAAAGCGCAAGAGAGAAGAAGGAAGGAAGGAGAAAGAAAGCAAGAAAGAGGAAGGATGGGAAGGAAGGAAGATGAAGGAAAGGAAGGCAGGAACAAAAACAAGAGACAAAAAGCAAGAAAGAACGAGAGAGAAGAAAGGAAGAAAGCAAGAAAAAGGAAGGAAGATAAAGGAGGGAAGGAAAGCAGGAACAAAAAGACGAGAGACAGAAAGCAAGAAAACGAGCGAAAGAAGAAGGTGGGAAAGAAAGAAAGGAAGGAAGGAAATGGGATGGATGTGGGAAGGCACCTTCAGCACCTCATTCCTTTTTTTTTTTTTTTGGCAGCCGCCCAGGCGCCCCTGAAACCCCGCACCCCTCGCGGCACCAAGACGCCCATTAACCGGAACCAGCTGACCCCAAACAGAGGCTTGGCTGGCATCGTGAGCAAGCGGACTTTCGAGAACGTGAGTAGCTGAGCTGCAAGCGACGGGACGGGCCTGGAGGGGTGGGTGGGAAGAGGGGCTCTTTTATTTTTATTATTCGGGAAAAACCATCCTGAGATCCAGAAAGCCAGCAAGGGTAGAAGCTCCCCCACCCCACCCCAATAAAAACCACCTCCTTGTAGTGGTCGCTGCAGCTTGGGAGTCCTGCAACCCATAACGCCCTGCAATTTGGCAGGCATTCTCTCCTCCGCCTACGAGGGAAGCCAGCTCTGCATCCTCTCCCTTTTTCTCCTCTCTCCGTCGCGCTCGCCCTGGGGGGGGGGTTTCTCCCCGCAGGAGTGGGCATCACCCCGCTTTTGTTAAAACACCGATCAACAACCAGCCATCTTTCCACCCAATCGTGGCTTGTTGTCCCCTTGAGAAGGCGGCCGATCTGAGGTGGGCGGGCGGCTTAGGCGGGCGGGGGGAACCAGCAAGAGGTAGACACTGCTTTGGGGGGGGGGGTGTTCCTCTCGCTGATAGCTCTGTGTGCGACCGGGCGCAGGTGGCAGGGGGCGGGCTCCCCTTCTCGGCCAACGGGCGGTCGCTAACTTCCGGCATGAGGTCAAGCAGTCAGCCTGCCCTGAAACGTCAGAAGCTGAACCCCGCCGACGCCCCCAATCCTGTCGTTTTTGTGGCGACCAAGGACACCAGGTACGGAGGCACGGTTGCGGGCTGCGGGGGTCGCGTGGAACACGGCGTCTTGGGGAAGACGGACAGATAACAGTCAGCTGGACAGATAAAAGAGGCGGCCGAGCCCTCCGAAAGGAACGGGGACCCTCCCTAGCTGCCTGAATTGTAAAGGCAAAAAAAAAAAGGGGGGGGGGGAGAGATGGACGTTCAGGACTTGCCAAATTCTGCCCCCGTGATGGACTTAGAGGAGGAAGAGGGGAGGAAGCAACGGTCAGATATGAGGCGGCTGAGCCCTCCGAAGGAAAAAAAAGGCTGTGTGGAAACATTTCAGGAATGACCCTCCCTAGATGCTTCATCTGTAAAGGGGGGGAAGGATGGATTTTCAGATTTGCAAGATAGTCTGTTACAAGAAAGATGGAGCTTGTACCTCCGAGTGTGTACTACCTTGCAAGGCTGGCAGGGAGGTGACGGTGGGTTGGGCTACTTCCATCAACTGCCCTCTCCGGCCTTTTGGGGAAGGGGTTGTGGCCCCTTCTGTTCAGTCCCCCTCGCTTTGATGCAGAGCAGGTGACAATTCCCTGGATCGGAACGGTGGAAACGGCTGGATTCTCGCCCGGCTGTTCTAGAATGGCCAGTCTCCTTTTTTGCAGCCATCAAGCTTGTCCCCTTTAAAAGGGGTGGACTTCAACTCCCAGAATTCCACCCTCTTAAAGCAGGCTGGCTGGGGAGTTCTGGGAGTTGATGTCCATCCATCTTAAAGCATGCTGGCTGGGGGATTCTGGGAGTTGAAATCCACCCATCTTAAAGCATGCCGGCTGGGGAATTCTGGGAGTTGAAGTCCACCTATCTTAAAGCATCTTAACTGGGGAATTCTGGGAATTGAAGACTACCCATCTTAAAGCATGCTGGCTGGGGGATTCTGGGAGTTGAAATCCATCCCTCTTAAAGCATGCTGGCTGGGGAATTCTGGGAGTCTAAATCCACCCACATTAAAGGATGCTGGCTGGGGAATTCTGGGAATTGAAGACTATCCATTTTAAAGCATGCCGGCTGTGGAATTCTGGGAGTTGGTCCACCTATCTTAAAACATCTTAACTGGGGAATTCTGGGAATTGAAGACTATCCATCCTAAAGCATGCTGGCTGGGGGATTCTGGGAGTTGACGCCCACCGCTCTTAAAGGGCCCAAACCTGAGAAACCTAGAGATTTGCTGGCTGGGAACATGAGTAGGGGGACCCCTGAGATTTTTTTTTAGACCGGGAGGGGGGGGGAGAAGCAAACGGTTCTGTCTCAGTCCAGGCGTTTGTCTACCCCGCCCTGCCAGGCTGGGGGCGCCCTAAACCTGCGCTGCTCTTTCCTTCCCCAGAGCCCTCCGCAAGGCGCTGAGCCACCTGGAGATGCGGCGAGCTGCCCGTCGGCCCAACCTTCCGGTGAAGGTGAAGTCAGCCCTGCCGCTCCGGCCCCTGGGGGCTCCCCTGTTGCCTGTCCCCCCAGTCCACCCTGCCAGCACCAGCGAGCCCATCATCCTGGAAGACTGAGCGCTGAGCTCCCTTCTCAGCCCCTCTAGCAATCTTTCGGTAGCCACCTCGCCCAGCACCGCAACGCCCCTCCATCCGCACCGGAGGCCCGATTCGCCGCAAGCCGCTTCCGAGGGTCCCGTGGCCCCGCATTTGCTGGGAACGGGCCGGGCGGGCAGGGGGACCGCCCTCTCTCCCCGGAGTTGGGCCCTGGGTCTCCCGCCCTCTCTTTTTTATATATAAATATATTTTTAATTTCCACATTTTACATTTGTACTTCCCCCCCCCTCCCCTCCTTCCCGCCCAGTCTCTTCCGCTCCTCGCTGATCTGAATGCACAAAGACCCCCCGGTCCTGTACGTTGTTTTTTTTTAGGGGCGCCCTCGTGTTTTTCGCCTCCCTCCTCGTTTAGGGACGCAGGCGACGCTAGGAGAGGCGTAGAATGGGGAGGGTCAGAGGCGTCCCTGTTTTTTTCAAAACGGCCTCTTCTTTCCACCGGGATCGCTCTTTTTCCCTTCTCTGTGTGGTTTTTTCCCCCTTTCTCGGATCCCCTAAAATCTTCCCTCCCGCCCCCCAATTTGAGAACAGGGAACCTTGGCGATTCCTTGTTAATGCGTCCATCTGATGAATCCCCCTCCTCTCTTTCCCCCCTCCCCCCCCTCAGCCTTTGACGAATTCCTTTTTTTTGTACATGGTTTGGAGAGCAAAAAAAAAAAAAGGGTTTTTTTAAAGTCAGCCTCTTAACTGGTTCTTATAAGCAACGACAGCGGGAAAAAATAATAAATGCCGTTTTCTTCACTTGCTTCTTTGGCTCGTGGTTTTTGGGGAGGGAGGGGGGCAAGCAGGAACACCACGGGGGTGCGTTGTTGTTACTTGGAAAGGACCCTCAACGGCAAGAGGTGGCCATTTTCTTTGCCTGATTTGATAAGGACTTGATAAGGGGCATATTCCTTTATCGCATCCAGCAAAAAAAAAAATGCAGAGGGAAGTTTGAGGGGTGCCTCTTGCTTGGTTAATAATAATAATAATAATAATAATAATAATAATAATAATAATAATAATAATAATAAAGTTGGAAGGGACCTTGGAGGTCATCTAGTCCAACCCCCTGCCCAGGCAGGAAACACTATACCGTTTCGGACAGATGGCTGTCCAGTCTCTTCTTAAAAACTTCCAGTGTTGGAGCATTCACCGCTCCTGGAGGCAGGTGGTTCCACTGGTTAATTGTTCTCACTGTCAGGAAGTTTCTCCTTAGTTCTAGGTTGCTTCTCTCTTTGGTTAGTTTTACATCCGTTGCTTCTTGTTCTGCCTTCAAGCACTTTGGAGAATAGCTTGACTCCCTCTTCTTTGGGGCAGCCCCTGAGATATTGAAACACTGCTATCCTGTCCCCCCTCGTCCTTCTCTTCATTAAACTAGACATATCCAATATTGTTGCTAAAAGTTTGGTTAATCCAGTTTAATTGCAGAAGTTGGTTGAAAAACAGGATAAACTGCAAAGAATCCTCATACCCTTCCCAGGCAAAAAATAAATAAATTCTACCTTCACCTTTATGGCTATATAAGTGAAGGCAAAGAATATACTTCAAACACTTCCTTCCCCCTATTTTCCCAACAACCCAGGTGGTGGGTTTGTTGGTAGAAATTCTAGCCCACTGAATAACACCAAACAGCAAGTTGAAATTAGACCGAGATTTATTGGATACAACAGTTTGCAAAGCATGGTGGACTCCAAATAAATATTTGAGCCACACCTAGTCATAACTCACAACAAAGGCACACATATACAGTACGTTCTATCCCAACGCCTTGGCCCCTCCTCTGAGGTTACAATCTTATCAGAGCCGCCTAAACAAAATACATTATCCTTGCCCCTTACTATTTTGCTTCACCTATTCCCTTATATGTACTTTATCATGAAATCCTACAGCTCAGTGTGGAAATCCTATAGCCTACGTGCAGAACTCTTCCAAGGTACGTGTGTACATGCAGAAATTGTGTAGAAATCTTGCAGTCTACATGTAGAAATTTTGTGTAGAAATCTTACTGTCTGCGTGTAGAAATTTTACAGAGTACGTGTCATTTAACTTTACTTTTTATTCTAAAATTTTATTCCTAACAGGTTGGGCTGAGGGACACCCCGTCATCCAGCTGGCTTTTGTACTTGAAGCAGGACTAGAACTCACCATCTCCTGGCGATTAGCCCAAAGTCACCCAGCCAGCTCTCATGTCTTGAGGCCAAGATTAGAACTCATCGCCTTACAATTGGCCCAAAATCACTCAGCTGGGTTTCATGACTAAGATGAGAACTAGAATTCACACAATCCCCCCCCCCCCCCGGTGATTAGCCCAAAGTCACCCAGTGCCTTTTATTTTTAAACTGGGACTAGAAGTCACAAACCCCAAACTTCTAACCCAGTCCTTTTATCACTAGGCCAAACCAGCTCAAGAAAATGTTTATTTAGCGTCGATTTTGGATCGTATTGACGGCATTAGGAAACTTTTCCTACAGAGTGGAACCTTTTCACGTTCCAATGGAGATATCTTATGTTTTTTTTTTGGCAATAAGAAGCCGAGGATAGAAAAGCTAGTTTCTCCTTGTTCAAACGTCGCTTCTGAGGTCCCAAAGGTGCTTTTTTCCGAAAGGCAACTTGAAGACATTTTGCTTCTCTTCAAGAAGCTTCTTCAGTTCTGGAGAATCTCAAAAGACATATATATATAGTCATGAAGGTTTGTTTGCCCCTGATTTATTTTGCCAGCACAGATTAACACTGATCACCCCCTACAATGCTAAATTTTGGTGTTTTTCCCAAAGGAGCACTCAATAAACCGGACTACAATACAGCCCAAATCGTTTGCAAAGTGACTTTTGAGATAGAAAAGCGTTTTAAAACCCTAAATTTGGGGGAAAGCCAGAAAAGCGATTTTGTCAATTCTAGGGCAAAAAAACCTCTTCTACATTGTGCTATGGAAGCTTATTTTATTCTGGTACCCTTTATTGCTATAACCTACAATGAACGCAAAGGTTCCACACTGATTAATAAATAAGCATGGAAAAGCGTGTTCGGTTTCAACCCGGAAGTGTTTGGCGAAAAGCCGGCTGATTTATGGACGTGGCGGAGCTACAAGAATTCCGTTTCTTTTTCTACCTCTATGCGGAGGCGTGGACACTCAATGAACCTTCTCTGCCACGCAAAAGATGAACCTCGCATGGGAACCGGAAGGTTTAGTAGAATTTTGTTGCTCCTTATGTCTATGGTCGTGACGTCCGCAAATGGATGTCACACGATACACTCCGTCCGGCCGCTTCGCCATAAAGTAGTAGGGCTAGAGCGGCATCTCGTTTTGGGCGGAAACTACGTTAGAGCCGAAGCAGCTTCCGGCCGTGGAGGGAAATGGAGGAAGCGGGAACGCCGGGCGATGTGGACGATCTGCCCCGCGGGGCTTTTCGGTGCCGTCTCTGTCACGTGACGGTGGCCAACAGTGAGTGGGGTCAAGGGTCAAGGAGAGGCCTAGTGCTGTGAATTAAATCATTCTGAAATAAACTGGTAAAATTGAGGTTTAAAAGGGCTGCTCTTGGCACGTGGGAAGTTGTGAGCCAATAAACAAGGGGCGGGGTTCGGCTGATAATAAAAGCCAGCGGCGCTTTGCCCATGGTCAGAGGCACTTTTGCCTTAGAAAGTTGGTAGCCTTGCTTTATAAACTTAGTTAGCCAACGAAAATCAGACAACAGAGCCATTACATCAGTGTTTCTCAACCTTGGCAACTTGAAGGTATGTGGACTTCAATTCCCAGAATTCGTCAGCCAGCATGCGCTTGCTGGGGAATTCTGGGAGTTGAAGTCCACACATCTTCAAATTGCCAAGGTTGAGAAACACTGCATTACATCGTAAGAAAGACACCCATCCTTTCTGTACACTCCTTTATTCCCCCCTTCAGTGTATATCCCGTCCATGTGCACGTTTCCCACACTTGCATGAGATTTCCCTGGCGCAAAAAGCTGGTTACAAAAAGCAAGACAGCCACAGTTAGACCAAACAATTTCCCTTTGTTCCAGAACCTTTCAATAACTTGCTTTCATTCTTTAGAGCCCAGCTTGCAAGATCATCTGCGTGGAAAGAAACACCAGCGCCTGGAAAGCCTCCGTAACGTCCGCCAGTCTCAGGAACTCCGCAGTGTTTTTGTCAGTGGCTTCCACAAAGGGACGACAGCCTTGGAGCTGAGCAACTATTTTGGAACCTATGGGGAGGTGATCAATGTGGTGATGGACAAAGATAAGGTGAGTGTCATCCCTCCACTCCTTTGCTTTGCACAGGTTGTCGCTTTCGATTGATTAAAAAAGAAAAAAATTGCAAGCTTGACGCTCCTTTCCTTTTTTTTCTGCAAGGGGGTCTATGCAATTGTGGAACTGCAGGACGAGGAAATGCTCCAGAAAGTATTATCAGAAGCACAACATAGCCTAGGGGGGCAGAAATTACGTGTCAAGCCACGGGAGAAGAAGGATTTCAGATACACCCCACCAAAGAAACAAGGGTCAGCCAGGCGGGAGCAGCTGAGCCCGGAGAAGTTGGCCCACAATCTCTGCCAAATGGATGATGTAAGTGTCTCTGGAGCAGTGCTGGCTGGGGGATTCTGAGAGTTGAAGTCCACCCATCTTAAAGCATGCTGGCTAGGGAATTCTGGGAGTTGAAGCCCACCCATTTTAAAGCATACTGCCTGGTGAATTGTAGTCCACTCATCTTAAAGCAGGCTGGCTGGGGAATTCTGGGAGTTGAAGTGCACCCATAATAATGTAGTAAAATGAACAATTATTAGAATAATGATTTGCCTGCATAATAGCTAGAATAATGATGTAATGCATAATCACTGGGAAAATTCACTGGGAAAGTTCTGTGTCAGTAATATGTGACTAACCAAATGCGCATTGCACATGGATACTTTGTATGTAGCAAAACCTTCCATTGTATGCCCGTGAGAAACGATCCAAATGTATTACAGTGTATTACCATGTGTAGTCCCTTTGTTCCTGAAAGAACAACTGAAGTCTAATCCCGCCCTCCTTGTTCAGAATTGCCTATCTCTATATGCCTCTGAACCTGTGCAAATAAACCTCTCTGCTAAACCCCTCTGGAGTTCTTTCGTTTTCCACAAGAAATTTAAAGTTGCCAAGGTTGAGAAACATGCTCTGGAGGATTCCCTCTTTAAAGATGGCTGTAGGGAACGTCCTAAAGAATTCCTCTGAATACAGGGGAAAAAAAAAAACTTCATTACTTTCTATCCTGCAGGTTGATGCCCAGATGTCTTTAGTGGTTCAACTCTTTGAATTTTCCGAGAGCGAACAGCGTCTCCGAGACTTGCTCGTCAAGCTGTTCGAGGAGGTGATTTCTGAATTCTTCCCAGGTAAAGTGGACTCTTTGCCATCTGCTTCGATTGGATATTTTGAACGTTTCCGATTTTACAACTGGTCCTTCTCCCAAACACTCAGAATCGGCCATCATTCCCTTTGGGTCTTCCGTGAATGGCTTCAGCGTCTCTGGATGTGACCTGGATTTGTTCCTGGATCTTGAGAAGACGAAAAACTTCCAGGCTTCTGCCAAGAGAACGGATAAGCCACCGGTGAGGATGAGGCTGGGCTGTATCTTGATCAAATGTAGATTATTTTTTTTTGTCCCGTATCTCTTGTTAGAGGTATGAAAGATTCCTTAAACTTGGCAAGACCACTGCGGATCACTCTGTGTCAATTTTCTCAATCTCAGCCGCTTTAAGGTGTGTGGACTTCAACTCCCAGAATTCCCCAGCCGGTATGCTTTAGGATGGGTGGAGTTCAGCTCCCAGAATTCCCCAGCTGGCATGATTTAAGATGGGTGGACTTCAAGTCCCAGAATCCCCCAGCCTGCATGCTTTAAGATGGTAGACGCCAAGTCCCAGAATTCGCTAGCCGGCATGTTTTAAGATGGGTGGACTCCAAGTCCCAGAATTCCCCAGCCAGCATGCTTGAAGATGGGTAGACAAACAAAATGAACAGAAGTGATTGGTGAACGTATTGGGCTGTGGGTGGATCGGAGGGAAACGGGTAAATAACTATTCCAGTGTTTGCGTGGGAAATCAGAGCTGGCTTTGCTTCTTCTGTGCCAATGTAGATTTTCAGTAAAGTATTATACTCTCTGTAAAAATCATCTGCCAGGAGTTTCTTTTTCTGGAAATGCCAGCTGGACAGGTGACCCTTAGCCATGGAAACTTTGCGTTCCGTTCTGGTCGTAAGTTGAGGATTACCTGTATACCCTTGGTTGAACATGGCTTAATCCTGTCTCAACTTTTTCAGGCAGAGGAAGAAGTTTCCGAAATGGAATCGCGCTCCGAAGATTCGATCTTGTCTGATATTGACCTGGTCACTGCCACCGTGCCTGAAATCCTTGATCTGGTGGCCACGGTGCTGCAGAAATGTGTACCGGGCGTTCATCACGTCCAGGTGGTCTCCACCGCCCGCCGCCCCGTGGTCAAGTTTTGCCATAAAGAATCCAGCTTGAGGGGTGACATCTCCATAAACAACAAGTATGGATATAATGTCTTTCTAGCACAGGGGTAGGCAACCTTGTCCCTTTTATGACTCATGGACTTCAACTCCCAGAATTCCTGAGCCAGCTAAAAGAGCCAAGGTTGCCTACCCGTGCTCTAGCAAAACCCCATACAGGAAGTCCTCGACTTTAAACAGCTCATTTGACCGTTTGAAGTTACAACGGCACTGAAAAAAAGGGACTTAGGACCGTTTTTCCACACTTACAACCGCTGCAGCTTCCCTATGGTCACATGAACGAAATTCAGCGGCTTGGCAACTGACATGTACTTATGACGGTTGCAGTGTTTCCCGGGGTGACGTGATCCTCTTTTGCAACCTTCCGACAAGCAAAGTCAACGGGGAAGCCAGATTCCCTGTGATTAGCTTAACACCTGCAGTGATCCACTTAAACATGTGGGCAGGAAAGGTAGTAAAATGGGGCAAAACTCACAACTGTCTTGCTTACCAACATAAATGTTGGGTTTTATTGCAGTCGTCAGTCGAGGACTGCCTGTACTCAGTCAGGATCAGTCTGTCTATGCAGCAGATTATGAAACCGAAAGTTACAAGACATTTAGACTCTGGATAATTGCAGAGTGCCAGTTTAATCTAGAGCAGGGGTAGGCAACCTTGGCTCTTTTATGACTCATGGACTTCAACTCCTAGAATTCCTGAGCCAGCATAGCTCAGCTTGGAAACCTCTCCCTTCCCCTCAGCATGGCTGGCTGAGGAATTCTGGGAGTTGAAGTCCACGAGTCATAAAAGAGCCAAGGTTGCCTACCCCTGATCTAGAGCAATGTTTCCCAGCCTTGTCAAATTTAACAGATGTGGACTTCAACTCCCAGAATTCCCCAGCCATCTCTGCTGTCCATACCACTTAAGATTGCCCATATTGAGAAATACTGACCTAATGGCAAGGGAACTGGATTAGGATGGGGGGAAATGTGAGTTTAGGGTTTCCTGGGGACCGAAGAGAATATGGCAAGAAGCTTGGGTATAAAGAAGTGGCTGAGCTCGGCACGGTATATTCTGATTTATGCTCCATCTTCTTCTGTTTGGTAGGCTGGCCTTGTGCAACACGCGCTTCCTGCAGTTTTGCACCGAAGCAGATGAACGTGTGCGGCCTTTGGTCTACTCGGTGCGCTACTGGGCAAAACAGCAAGGTTTGGCAGGTAAGATGGAAGGGAAGGGAAGGGAAGGGAAGGGAAGGAAGGAAGGAAGGAAGGAAGGAAGGAAGGAAGGAAGGAATGTGGAAAGAAGGAAGGAAGATGGAATGTGCAAGGAAGGAAAATGGAATGTGGAAAGAAGGAAGGAAGATGGAATGTGAAAGGAAGGAAGGAAGGAAGGAAGGAAGGAAGGAAGGAAGATGGAAGATGGAAAGGAGGAAGGAAGATGGAATGTGGAAGGAAGGAAGATGGGAGGGGCAGCCAAAGGAATGAAAGTATCCTCCTTTGGGGGCACAATTATAGTGGTGGAATAGCAGATGAAGAACCATATATCAATTGATCTACTTGTATACAGGTAGTCCTCAACTTATGGCCACAATTGAGCCCAAAATTTCTGTTGATAAGTGAGACATTTCTTAAGTGAATTTCGCCCCATTTTACGGCCTTTTTTTTTTTTTTTTTGCAGGAAATCTTTTTGGTGGGGGCCCCCTCTTCAACAACTACGCCCTGACCTTGCTGGTGTTCTTCTTCCTACAGACACGCACCCCCCCGGTCTTGCCGACGGTTGCACAGTTGAAGGACTTCTCAGGTTAAACTCCCTCCGTGCACCAATTCCCCCCCCCTTCGAACAGAAACAGTAGCTTCCACTTTTACTATGATTTTACTACGAGTACGGGCGGTCCTCAGCCTGTGACCACAGCGGCGTCCGTTGTAAGTTCGAACGGTCACCAAATGAGCGGTCGAGGACTCCCCTGTATTTATTTATATTTTTCAGTCAGTCAACACGGAGTGGTCCCCTTTCCTGCTTTTCTTTCCAGGGTGAATGACGCAATAGGCGTCATCAGAGGTCATACCAGAATGGGATAGAAAGATGACAAAACGCAAAGCCGGAATCCAATTGAAGACTTTGCAGACATATTTTTTTCCCCCCATCCTTTTCCAACTCCTTTTCCTTTCTTGTCAGATGATGGAGAACTGACCGTGGTGGACGGTTGGGACTGCACTTTCCCTAAAGATCCGGCCTCGTTGCAGCCCAGCGGGAACACAGAGAGTTGTTGTGAGTTGCTACAAGGAGCTTTTTAAGTTGCATGTTGCTTTAAAAAGAATAGAATAGAATTATGAAAGAATAGAATTATGAAAGAACAGTAAAATAAAATTATGAAAGAATAGAATATAGAATAGATAGAATCATGAAAGAATAGAATACAATAGAATTATGAAAGAATAGAATAGAATTATGAAAGAATAGAATTATGAAAGAATAGAATATAGAATAGAATTATGAAAGAATAGAATATAGAATAGAATAGAATTATGAAAGAATAGAATAGAATAAAATTATGAAAGAATAGAATATAGAATAGAATTATGAAAGAATAGAATATAGAGTAGAATTATGAAAGAATAGAATAGAATAGAATAGAATAATTTATGAGCAATCGATCCAGAAGTTAATCTTAAAACTGTCTACCTTTCTAGATAGAATGTCTGTAAAATATATTATGGAAAAGGAATATGTTTTACCTTACAAGATTGAGACTGATCTGAAAGTGGATTTAAAAATAATGGAACCACAAGAACGATGTGGAAAAAAAGATACTAGACTGGATATACACAGGAAACTTACTAATGCTTGCTTTGTTGACTTTTTTCCCAGGCTCCCTTCTGGCAGAGTTCTTCCGCGTTTTCGAAAGCTACAATTTCGCCGGTGGGGTGATCTCCCTGCGCGAGGGTCGGTCACTTCCTCTCTCCAATTTCCTGTTATCTGACGCAGGCCAGAAATTCAAGGTGGGCCCCATCAACCTGCAGGATCCTTTTGAGCTGAGCCACAACGTAGCGGCCAACGTCAATGAAAAGACTGCACTGCGTCTCCAGCGAGGTTGTCAGGATGCCGCCAAATACTGTCGGAGTTTGCAATACCAGCGTAAATCCACCAAGGGGAAGAACTGGGGGCTGGTCCGTCTCTTCCAGCCTGGCAGCTCCCAAGCCGTGGAACGGCTGGTCATCAGCCTCCCCTTAACGCCAGCGGCCCAATCCCTGGGGTCCCACCCAGAGCTGCACCTGAGCAGGGATTTCCACCAGCTCTGGCTTCGGAGAGTGTGCGCGGGTGTCTCGTTTGTTCTGGAGCAGGTGCTGAAATGCAGCTGCTCGGAGAAGCCGCTGGGATTCGGAGAAGATGGGGAACCCCTCGGCAGCGATCCAGAGGAGGAGCAGCTGAAAACGAAAACCGAACAACTCAGCGTGGGTTCCAAGCGATCTCTGGACGTAGAAGAGGCCGCGTGGGGTTCTCCTCCGTTGAAGAGATCACGAATGGAGAATTCGCTTCCCGCCGCAGAGAGCATGACTTGGAATTGCACCGTCTGGCACCGTGTTTGGTTAGGAAGACGCCGCGTCCGGCGACAATTCTGCAGCCCAGAAGTGGATCCCAAACCGAGAGCTGATCCCCTAGAGCTGGAAGGCAAAGTATCCGAGGCGATTTCCCGACAGGAGAGGGAAACCGGACCCGTGGAGGCTCTGTTTCAATTCACCATTTGTGCCAGGCTCCGAGACGGTGGTTCAGGGGAACACGACCCACAGGTCAGCCTAAATTTCACCCCAGACCCTGAACAGCGAGCTGTTTTCCAAGATTTTTTTCATTTCCTACAAGGTTTTCTGCCCCGAATGGTTGAGCAGTACCTGACCACCAAGCCTTCAGACCTGCCTACCCCAGAAGACAAATCTTCTCCAGAGGATGACATTTGAAACTCGTTTAGACCATGGCAGAATTCTATGTTTCGATTTTTTCCCATTTTTGTCTGTTGGTGAAAATAAAAGGAATGAGGAGAAAAATTGAAACTGGTTTCCTTTGCGTTTTGAGTTCTTGAAGATGATCCAGCCATGATGCCACACTAGGATTGTTGATTTAATGGACCCCATCGTGGGCTTTCGTCTTGACCCAACTAGGGAGCATCATCAGTGCTAGAAAGGAGTGGGGTTTGTTGCATATACCCTTTCTAGCACTGATATTGGCTAGTTGGGTAATGAAACATCTACAAAACAACAACAAAGCTAATGTCTTTTTTTCCTTTCAAAATAATTTTATTGAATGCTAGTTTTACATATTTAAAGTTCAGAAGAAGAAATTTTTAAAAAAGAATAAAAGAAAGAATGGGAAGAACATAATGAAAAAGAGAAAAGAAATATCAAGCGTATAGTTCTTTGTATGTTGACAAACTGTCTGCTAATCAAACCTCAACCGCATAGAGGGGAGTTATATGTAAACCAGACCAGTATCCAGTTGTATGTAACTTGGGATCAAACTCTTTTCCTGCCAATGTTTTATTACCAGCCTTAATAACATTATCAGTCTGTACGGAATATATGTACGGTATATTTGTCATCTATTTTATCTATCTCTTCTCTAGCGTCTGTCTGTCATCTGTCTTGTCTATCATTCATTATCTATCTATCTATCTATCTATCTATCTATCTATCTATCTATCTATCATCTGTTTCTGTATCTCAATCATCTATTATCTATATTTTCTCACTATATCTCGGTCATCTATTATCTATATTTTCTCACTATATAAGTGTTTCTATGTATCTCAATCTATTTATATTTTCTCACTCTATCTATATGTTTCTATGTATCTCAATCTGTATCTATCTATATATCCATCTATCTATCTGAATATTAGTAGCTCGGGGTTGAAATGAGGGGGTCTTTGATGCTCTCTGAGCTTTATTTTTTTGTTTTGTTTTTTGTTTTGTAGATGTTTCATTACCCCAACTAGGTAATATCAGTGCTAGAAAGGGCACATGCAACAAACCCCACTCCTTTCTAGCATTGATGATGTTTCCTAGTTGGGTCACGAAACGTCTGCAACAAAACAACCAAGGTCATTCTCATCTCAACTATGGCACTTCAGTTACGCGTTCCTTCCTTCTGCAGCTGAATGACCCTTGCAACAATTTATTAAGTTTTATTAAGCTTTATTAAATAGAGAATCAGTGCGATAAGACAAATATGGCAATAAGAATTGGTGGAATAGTGACCCTTTTAAAAACAAACATTGCAATCAGATAGATCCGTCAAATGGCCGAAAGCTTTTATGCATGTGCTTAGGAGCACTCTGTCCATGCTTAGGGATACTTGGACGCCTTCCCAGGTTCAGCTACCATCTTTACATTACGCATGCGCGCCCTTTCGGCCCTTTCCTCTTATTGCGCTTGCGCACTGCTCCTGCCTTTCGCGCTCATTTTACCTCCCCTCCATTTGTATCATAGAGAAACGAAATGATAGAAGAACTTTGTCTAGCAGTCCACCTTTTGGTCAAATGTAAGTTTATTATTTCATATTAAGAATGGCAGTTATTGCTAAAAAAAATTGTTCTAAGTCTGAACGTCGCCTTCTCCTTTACTACACTCAACAGCAGGGAGTTGTGAGAATGACGCGCCAACTCCTGGGCAAAATATCTCTTCGCACGGGTAGAACAAATGCTAAATTCATGTCTTCTCTTTTAGTATCTCTATGTTCACATCTACCCACAACCCTTCGCGAAGAATCAGGCCCTAGACTAGAGATTCTCTATTGGAGAGGGCGGAGCATTTCCCAGCGTGCCCCGCGGCTCCCGAGTATTTAACTCTTTTGCCGCCGTTTTCTATTTCTTTTTCGATGGATCTGCGGTCGACCCGGAGAAGGTCCGTTGCTCTTAATCCGTCGCCATCCTCGGCCTGCAGGAAGATCAGCTCCAGATCAACTCGCCCCAATTCTTTCAAACGATCCTCTCTTCCCAATGTAGGCACAATTGGGATCCACTAGATCGAAAAAGATCCCGGTCCGGGGGAAGGGAGGAATCGATGCATGCAGCAAATAGGATCTCTGCAAAAAAAAAAAAAAGTATGCATGGGGGGGGGAAGTTGAAATGCTGCGCGGGGTTGCATGCGAGCCCGGCTCTTTAAACAAGATATTATGCATAGATAAAATGTATATATTATGCATATCTTTATTTTAAGATTTTTTTTCCTGGAAAGTGGAAAATGCAATTTAAAACAGGCAAACTACCCAGAGTTTGGGATGGAGGGGACGCTTGATATATATTTGGTTTTTGCAAATACCTCTTAAGATGATGTGTGTTTGCCATTGCTTTAAAAAAGTGCTGGAGAGGCTAATGTTTCATTTAACATTAAAAATTTTAAATGACAAAAAAATTAAATAGTTTTTAAGCCTCTTCCGAGGGGCCTATTTTTGCAAAACGGAGTCTTTTGGTGATGAAATATAACACAGACCTGTTCTGAACTGTGCTGTGAGGATGTTTTTATTTTCTGAAAAGACCCCAGTCGCCATAACCGCTTCGTAAAAACTTTGACTTAACCAAGGTTAAACTGTATTTATAATTAGCTTCTGTTTTTCTCTACAGTTTGGGTCGATGGGATTCTGCAGCTCAGCATTCCAGGTAAGATGGGCTTATTTTTTTTTAATAGAACGCTGCTTGGTTTTTAAATTTCATTTAAAAAAAAAATGGACAAAGATTGTACAAAGCCAGCTGTTCTGCAGGCCGCCGTTTGCTGCAATAAAAGACATGAGATAGAATAGATTGAATTAAATTAGCAAATTGAAAAGTCAAAGGAAGAAGTAGCTTGGGGTGGAATATATTTAATTTGTATGTAGCCCATCTCCGTATTTAGCGTCAAACTTGGCCCTTTTATGACTTGTGGACTTCAACTCCCAGAATTCCTCAGCCAGGAAAAGCTACCATGATGAGATCCAGGACTCTCTCTTTCTGATCCGTCAGTGGAGAAAAAGGCACAAGTCTGAGTAGCCCTCAAAATAGAAAATTGACCAACTGTACTCCAGAACTTTGTCTAATAAAAATGGGCTTTGTGAGGTTCAGGTGGCAGAAAATATATATATTCATTTTCCCTGTGGCCTGTTTTGCAGATGCAAGCAGCACGGATGTCTCTGCGTCACAGGTAAGTGTACTAAAAAAGGGCACTCCGTTCAAAATCACTTTTAAAGCAGTTTTATTCTTTGTATGGAGAGGTTTTGCCCTGTTTTATAAATACGAGCTAGTTGCCAAAAATCTGAACTTCGATCTGCAGTGGTCATAAGTGTGAAAAATGGGTCATTTAAGTCCCTTTTTTCAGTGCCGTTGTACGGTCACTAAATGCACAATTAAGGCTACCTGTTATTTGTTTTCTAGTTGGCTGCTGGTTTACAGTCTTCAAAAGGCAGGGAAAAAAATCTGGATTATTAGTTACCAAAGACCCTTCGTCTCCTTCCTGTGTTCCATTTGTTTTCTAGTTGGCTGCTGTTTTATTTCAAAAGGCAGGGAAAAAAATCTGGATTATTAGTTACCAAAGACCCTTCGTCTCCTTCCTGTGTTCCGTGATGTGCCTAAAACAGACAAGCATATATCTGATGATGGGTGATGCTCAGTTAACTGTCTGAGAACACACAAGACCCTGTTTTTTAGGCATTAAGCGTGGAGATAAAACGTATAATCTCTAGAATTCTCTTGTTTCTTTTTTTTGCAGAGCGCGTGAACCTGCAAGGATCCGCCGATGGTTAAGATGCACCGTGGAGCTATTAGAGGTGAATTTTGAAGGCTGTGGGTCAATTGGGAGATGCGTTTGTGACTTTTTGGCGCTCGAAAGGATGACCTCTGTTGTTGGACGACTTTTTAGTCAAATGGCAATTGAGTTACCAAAGCCCTGATCGGGCACACACATCTTATCACACAAATGTTTTTCTGGCTTTTCCTTCTACTAATTTGGTTTTACTTTCTATCTTACAGACGATGGATCCACTTTAGAGAAAAGGTGAGTCCTTATTTGAGGATATTTTAGAGCAGACAGGTCAAACACAAGGCCCGATGCGGCCCGCGAAGCCATCCTGGAAACAATGAGGGAATGGCCCTCGCTCTGCCTTGGCCTGGCCCAGGCTGGCCGGGAGCCAATGTACAATTTTGTGGTGCATTCAGTCTTAGCGCCCTAAGCCCCCCCCCCTGCATGACCTAAGAGGAACAGTGAGGCTCCTCCAGTGAACCATGCCTTGGCACTTGCCCTGGTCCCACCCCCTTCTGCCAGAGACCTTCAGATCTGTCCCACTCCTGCCCAAGCCCCCACAGGCACCCTTGACAAGAATGATGTAGAGCTGGCCATGCCCACCCTGGCCACACCCACCTGGCCCCCTGAGGGCAACCGCAATGCTGATGCGGCCCTCAATGAAATTGAGCTTGACACCCCTGTTTTAGAGAGTTGATGAGTTTTGTCTGTTTGGGTCGTCCTTGATTTAACGACCAGTGAATCAAATGGTTAAGTTGAAGCCTGCTTCACTTTTTATCTTGTTTTTTATGATTGTAAGCCATTAGAGCCCCCTCTAGATAAGATGTGCCATATAATTTTTAGGAATAGAACAGAATAGAGAATAGAATAGAAGAATGAGTAGAGTAGAATAGAAGAAAGTAGAATAGAATAATATAGAATAGAAGAATGTAGAGTAGAATAGAATAATGAAGAATAGAATAGAATAATGAAAAGTAGAATAGAACAATAAAGTTGAATAGAATAGAAATTAGAATAAAAAAGAGAATAGAGTAGAATAACAGAGTTGGAGAGAATGTTAAAGGTCTTCTAGTCCAACCCCCTGCTCAGGCAGAAAAATAAAATATATGAAAGAGGGGTGGCTATTAAAAATCCACAGCTCATGGTCCCAGTGATGAAAGCTCTCACGTCTTACTGTCTGACTGGCACCAGAACCTGCAAAGGTTGAACCCACTGGTGCCAACAGACGGAAAAGAGGATGGTCTGCTTCAGAAGGAGCCGTCTGATGGGGACTGAGCATCTGAACCCTTGTCATCTCCAAGAATTGCTCTTGAGAACCCAGGTTCCTGCTTTTTGACCTGATTCTTTCTTTCAACAGTTTCTAAAGTGGAAATGAATCTTCTTGAAAGTCCCTGAAGATTGTCCCTCCTTGCGTCATCAAAGTAAGTTTCCTGGTGCTTAATTCAAAATTAATTTGGTCACCTGGCTTGGTTCCTTCTGACATGATGAAATTGTGTTGGAATCTCGTTCGGCTGAATTGTCGCTGTTGAGAATCGGAATCTGAGCATCAGCTGGAACTTGGCCAGTCTGGAGTGGGGGGGGGAGAGAGATATTTGCCCCTGCCCTGCTTTCTTGAGTCTTTTTAAAGCAGGGGTGTCCAATAAGGCTTGTGGATGTCAACTCCCAGAAATTCTGGGAGTTGAAGTCCACCAATCTTCAGGTTGTTAAGTTGGGAGTTGAAATCCACAGATCTTCTAGTTGTTAAGTTAGGAATTATAGTCCATAGATATTAAGGTTAAGTTGGGAATTGTAGTCCATAGATCTTAATTAAGGTTGTCAAAATTGGACACCCTGTTTTACAGCCTGTATATTTGGAGAGAAAACAGACAGCCTCGTTAAGCAGGATAACCGCAATTTAATAGCTAGGGGGGGTTTCCATACCTTGAGACTGGTGCTGAATTAAATTTGAAGGCTGTGCAACAGGCTTCTATTAGCTGATTAATAATGAGCTTGGTGTAATTTACCTGGCTGGTGTATTTACATGTTCATGATATATTATTTCCTACAGAATGGAAAAGCCGGTCACAGCGCTCTTGCATGATGGGAGAACGAACCGGTAAGAAATTCTTCAAGATAGCTTTAATCCATAGCTAAGGTCTGTGGGTCAAATCTGGCTCACTCAGTGACTATTTTTGTACAGGCCATGAATTAGGAATGGGTGGTAGGCATACTTGCCAGCCTTGATGAAGTTCCTAGGCAAGCAAGACATCCTGACATCCTGAGGCTTGGAACTTAAATAAAATTAAAAGTATTTGCTGCCGTTCTCGCTGTGGGGCTACTCCAGGCATTTTACAGCAAAACGGAGGAAAAATGGCATTTGGAAAAAAAACTCATGTGGTTTTTTTCCCCACCTTTAGAGGTGACACTTTTTGTTTCGCTCAAAATAACTTTGGATATTTATTTGATTCATCAAATATACACTGTCTTTCACTATGGTTTACAAATGATGTACGAACAGGATCCAACCCAGCTCAAACTAACATGTTACACCTCAATATATCAAGCTGGGGCCCTAAGCCTTCCTGCCAGGACAGATTAATTCTTGATAGTTAAATAAAAAAGAATCTACACACGTTTCTGTGTAGAATTTATTTTTTTACATATAAATGGGCATTCTCCTTCCCAGTTGCAGTTTTGATGATGAATACAACTAGCTCACTTTGAACAACATGAAACGTCAGGAACTGCCTGAAAAACTGCAGATGGCACGGGCGTTATACGTTGGATTCCTGACAAGTTTTTCTTGCAATTTTATGGATTTGTCGATGTTTGGGTAAACATGTTGCTTTTTTTTCTTTCTTTCTGCAGAAAATAACTTGCAAGGAACGGCCCAAACATAGGTGAGTGGATTTTCCTGCCTATGCAGGTAGCCCTCAACTTAGATCCACAACACGGTCCAAAATTTCTGTCGCTAAGCGAGGTGGTTGTTAAGCAGGGGTTTTTTTCCATTTCAGAAATTCCCTTAACTGCCTCACTTAGCAACAGAAATGTTGGGTTCAGTTTGTTGTAAGTGGAGGGCTACCTGTCATCATTTTACGACATTTTTTTAAAAATGTAAGCGTTTTACGACCTTTTTCACCTCAGTTGTAAGTGGAAGATTAGTCAAGAAGGCTGTAGTTGAAATAACATCAGCGAGGGATCTCAAATCCGTTGGGATTCATATCTGGCTAAACCACAGACTGGTTTGTTTTGGCTTGGGGCAATTGTGTGCAAGCCAGATTTTTGTGGGGTTTTTTTTTTCCCCCTGATGCCTACCTGGGTTGGCTCCCAAAATGATGAGATCTCTACCGCCCCAGTCTGATATACTGTGACTGAGTGGTCCCTCTGATTACCCAAAGCCAGCTCTCTTCTGCATCAGTCTGGGAGTTTATTGCTTGCCTTCCTTCTTTACATTTTGCCCTATTTTCTTAAGCTCCAATTTAATGCATTCCACTATTTTCTTAAGCTCCCAATTTAATGCCTACTGGCTCTTTCGCTGGATCGCTGCAGCATGAAATCTCCCATTAATTCCCATTTCAAGAGGTGAAAAAGTCCATTTATAACACGAAGCATGCTAATCAGTAATAATTGCTTTTGAGGCTGTGAAGAACACGTAGTGTAGCCTCAATTTCTCAGATGGACAGGAGTGCATCTAATGAAAAGAAGGACTAGGGGTGACAGGACAGTGTTCCAATATTTGAGGGGCTGCCACAAAGAAGAAAGGGGTCAACGTATTCTCCAAAGCCCCCTGAAGGGCAGAACAACAAGCAACTAACCAAAGAGAGAAACAATCTAGAACTAAGAAATGTCCTGTCAGTGAGAACAATCAGGGCAAGGACTTCAGAAATTGGAGAGGTTCTTAAGAAGAGATTGGACAGCCTTTGTCTGGAATTGTCTTAAGATCTGCCTGAGCCAGGAGGTTGAGCTAGAAGACCTCCAAGGTCCCTGTTCAGTTGTTATTGGCTTCTGGTGATATCCCTTCCCTAGTTCAAGTTCTTCGTACTCCAAAAAGCATATTTGTTTTCATTGAGGCTTGTCCCTTGAGGTTACAGGTTATTTCAGCAGCTCCTCAATTTTTGATCTATGTCTTCTGTTTCCACAAAGGCAGGATGGAATGGTAATCGTGAAGACGTTTGAAAAGAAGACACAAGCTTGTCCACATGTTTTCGAATCAAGAAGAATTTTTGTTTTGTTTTTTTGGTGGAATAATGAAAAGCTGAAATGGCTCCTGGCAGTATCCTTCTGCCTTCAAATGCCTGGAGCATCTGAAAATCAAGACCTGGTGGAGGGAAAAAAAAACAAAACTGCAGAGGTGTGCTTTGGGGTTCTCTTTTTTTAAAAAAAATAACAAAACCCAACCATGTATAACTAAAAAAAGTTTGCTGGTACTTAGAAACTGGAAGTTGGAAAAAAAAACCCTTATACCTACAAATCAAGAGGATGTTTTTCTATTTGTGGAAAGGTGGCAGCTTGGTACATGTCAGGAAAAATGTATCAGCAATCAGTTCTGTATATGGTAAATTTCTTTTACATGTGTACAAAATTGCTACTATTAATAAACGCACTGGTTTGAAAAAAAATGCTGGAGTTGGTTTATTTTCCTGAGTAACTTGGGGATGGATGGATGGATGGAAGGGGGAATTTGATCAGATGGTGCTTATCTAATTGGGTAATGCTTAGCTAATATTCCTTCCCCTTTTCCCCACAACAATCCTGTGAGGTAGGCTGTGCTTGAAAGAAAGACTGGCCCAAAGTCATCCAACTGGCTTGCGTGCCTAAGGTGGGACTAGAACTCGCCATCTATCTATCTTTTTCTTTCTTCCTTTACACAAACACAAAGTGCTTTGTTTTTAATTCCTTTCTAAGTTTACAACAGCCTGCAACTTTTTTTTTTTTTTTTACAGTTCCTAGCAACTTTATACTTGGGATATGCTGGCTGGGGATAAACCAGGAAGATAAAATGTTGCCTTATTTTATTTGGACTGAAGTACATTTTGTTCTTAATATCGCTCCAAAATGTTTGAGATAAGCAGACCATCCCAACCCTTTTCGACATGGCCTAGTTCAGGGTAGGCAACCTTGGCTCTTTTATGACTCATGGACTTCAACTCCCAGAATTCCTGAGCCAGCTACTGGCTCAGAAATTCTGGGAGTTGAAGTCCATGAGTCATAAAAAGAGCCAAGGTTGCCTGCCCCTGGCCTAGTTCAAGGGGTCCAAAGACCCTGTCTCACGAAACAAGGACTAAGGTTGGTTTTGGGAATTGGCCCTTTTATGACTTGTGGACTTCAACTCCCAGCATTCCTCTTGAAGTCCACAAGTCATAAAAGGGCCAAGTTTGAAGACCCCTGGCCTAATGATAAGCTGCAGTGCTCTGAGAAGGTCATTTGGTGGAGGAGAGAGGTCAAGCAGGCCCTCATTAATTCAATTTCTACACTGCCCATCTTGCAGCCAAGCAATGCTTAAGCTGAATTTTGCCCCATTTTGCAAACCTCTCAACTGCGGTTGTTAAAGTGAATTGTTGCATTTGCTAAGTTAGTGACAAATGAATCTGGCTTGTCTTTGGAAGATCGCAAGAGGGATCACATGACCACCCAAGACACTGCAACTGTCCTAAGTACATGCCAGTTCCCAAGCCATCTTTTGATCACGTGACCGTAGGGATGTTGCAAAGGTTGTAAGTGTGAAAAACGATCGTACGTCACTCTTCCAGTGTTGTAACTTTGAGCGATCACTAAACAAATATTTGTAAGTCCGCTACCTGCAGCATGTTTTCACCTCTGGGACAGGTGAAGAAAACTCCCCAGAGGGCAGGTGAGGGAACAAAACCGCCACTGCCATCTCTGTTGGCTGCAGCTGCATCCTGTCCCAACTTGCACAAAATGGTGGGACGAAGCTGGTGGGGTTTTTTTTTCTTCCGCCGGACTTGATAATGTCCATCGCAAACTACTACTACTACTTATATAACTTGGCCATGCCCCCAGCGGTCTTTTCTCCCTCCCCCTCTGGCGCCTGGCATTCCAAAGCTGTTGGCAGCTGCCGCTCTGGGCACCCGCCCAGCAGCTGGCGGGGGCCAAGGAATCCAGGCAGGCTGCGACAACAGGTTCAGGCCTGTTGTGGCGCTGAGATCCAGCCCCCTCAGCCTGCCCGCAGCTCTCTCCCTCGCCATGCTTGTTTCTGTCCCGAAAGTCTGCAATGGGTCATTCTGGGCTGATCGTCGTCTTGATCCTGGGCACGGCTGTTCTGGGCTACGTCGGAGGTCAGGAGCTGGCGACGGAGGCTCCAGCCGGCGGGCAGACGTGGGCGCTTTGCCCTCCCGATGACAGCCCGGCGTCTTCTTTGCAGGAAGGAGAGCCCCCGGTGCAGCCCAGATTTAGCAGCTGCATGGTGCGCTGCACTTCCCACGCCTACGAAGCCTTCATGGCAATGCTGGCGACTGGCGACTTCAAGAGCATGACGACGTCGCTGAAACTAAACGAAGGCAGGCAAGGTGAGCGGGAGGGCCATGGAATGGGTGCCAGGCTCCTACTGGATGCCAGCTGTGCAGCCAATCAGACCGAAGCAGGGGATGGGCTTGGAGACTCCGCCCTGGAGCACAGACAGCTGTGCAACAGCTGTCGGGCAGTTCCCAAGGCCTTGAGTTCCTGGGGATGTGTGTGTGTGTCTTGAAATTGGAGGGGGGTTACGTTCCTTCTATCCCTTCTGCTTAAAACCGATGGCCGTTTTAGTCCAACTGTCTCTGCGGTTACAGCTTCTAGGTTACGAGGCAGGTTGTAAAGATTGTGAAGTAAATCGAAGCATGTTTATCCTTTTGGCCACTCTGTTCAATCCAGTGTTGTAATTTGGTGGGGTGGTGGTGGTGGGGATCTGCAATTTTTAAAAGGGGTATGATAAACGGTTGCTTCTAAATGTCAGCCAGATTTTGAAGTTAAAGAGTTAGAACAGCTGGGAAAGGAAGGCTGAGTGTTTTAATTGTTTTTTAATTTATATTTTATAGTCTATAATTTACACTTTATGCTATTTCTTTTCCTTCTTGTTATCTTTTCCTTTCCTTTTCCCTTTCCTTCCCTTCCCTTCCCTCTTAGTCCTCCCTCCCTCCCTTTCTTCCTTCCCTTCCCTTCTCTTCCTTTTCCCCTTCCCTTCCCTTCTATCTTTTCCTGTTTCCCTTTGCTTTCTTATCCTCCTCTTCTCTTCTCCCCTACCCTCCACCCATCTCCCCTGCCCTCCACCCATCTCCCCTGTGTGGTTTACAACATACTACCTTCTTCTCCCCACAGGGCCAGATCATGAATTCTGCTGGATGCTTCATCTCCGTTGCCAGAGAGGCCTCCGTCTCACCAAAGCTTTCGTCCTGCTGAACCTCGAGCAGTCTCTGGACCAGAGCCAGCCGTTCCCTCTCCGCCTCCTCCTCACTGCTCCACCTTGGCCCGACCCTCTCTTGCAACCTCGGTCCAAGAGACGAGACACCCGGCTGCTGAACGGGGAAGCCTGCGGCATCCGCTTCGATGTGACGCAGCCCTTCCGGGACGCCGAAGGCGGACGAGAGGCCGAGATGTGCGTGAAAGTTGTGTGTCCAGAGGGGGACGCCTGCGAGGCCCTGCAGCTGAGTCTGCGCTGCCCGCTTTTCCTGGCCACTCTGTGGCGTAGTTTGCCCCGCCCTGATGGCTAAACGGGTGGGGGGTTTCTTCTGCAAGGTTACCAGGGGAAAGAGTAGGGCTCCCCAGTTCCCCTTGTGCACACACACACTCCAGTTCAGCTGCTGAGGCAATCTTCGGACCGGTTTCCATGCAGGATTCATTTTTAGCTGGCGATGTTTACATTGCTTCAAGCGGGACACATGATACGTCGCAGGTGTGCGCAGGGGCCCCAGCTGCACACATTCGGTCATGCATCAATGCAACTGCAGATAGCAATGATGGGAAGCTAGTTTTCACTCTTGGGAACGAACCACAGCAAAACTCAGTGCGTAACACACCTCCTTCCCTTTTCACATTACAACTACAGTCACATTTACTGCAAATGTCAAATTGATCTGGAGTATTCTGTTACAAAGACGCCAGATTTTGCAAATGTCAAGAGCTTACATTGACTGCTAAAAGAAGGGATTTCAACTAGCAAAAACAATACAGTGCTGACTTTGAAGACTTTTTCTCTTTTACCTGAGGTTTTTTTTTTATCCTGCTCCTCTTCTGCATGACAGGATGTTCCTAATTTCTGCAGAATGGTTCACTCACTATCTTATTACAGGCTGGAAGTTTGGCTCTCCATTGTGCTGTTATTTTTATCCTGGCTGTTGGGATTAAGCATAAGAAAAATATATTGGACAGCGCATCCCCGTTACAGGACAGATTTTGCTAGACTTTAAAATTTCCTTGAAAGGAATTACAATCCTCTGAAAAAGTTTGCAAAAACGCTGAAATCAGATCTCTCCGTTTCCTTAGCAAATATAATCTTAAAAGTTGCGGGATGGTGGCGGTATCATATAATATTTATCTGGGCTGTGTGGCCTTTTACTCACTGTTACTCCTTGTCTCTATCCATTCCTTTGTTTTATAAGGTTTTCCTTGTTCTGGAAGTCTTATGTTTTTAGGCAAGGACATCAATTGTAGATTCACTCAAGCTATCTAAAACGTTGGGAGGTAAGGGAATCAAATAGAGTCTGTCATGTTGCCATATTGTTGGAGGCTTGTGAAATAAAGTAAGCCTCTGTTGAAATCTTCTCTGCTATGCTTATTTCTGATCAGTGGAATTAAAAAAAACCCACCAAGATTATCTTCGCTGCTTACTTTAGTTTAAATCCTTTTTTGGCATTAAGGAACAGACAAAAGAGGGAGGAAGAAAAGTAGAAGACTAGATGAAAAAGCAAGGAAGGGACTTTATGCTCCAGTTCTAAACACTCCTAAGCATGATTCTAAGCAGTTTGGTCTAGTAGTTAAGGCACTAACCTAGCAAAAAGGAGATAGTGATAGGCATGAAAGCTGGCTGGGGAACTTTGGGTCAGTCCCTCACTCAGCCCAACCTACCTTACAGGGTTGTTAGGAGGAAAATACCAAGAAGAGGAAGTGTTGGGTACGTTCTCCACCTTGAGTTATTTATAAAAATAAAGGCGGGATAAACAAAATACATAGCTAAATTAATAAGCTATCTCCTCAAAAACAAAACAAACCCAAGAATTCAACCGACCCGCTTCTAATCCTTGCAAAAGTTTTATATCTCCCTGTACCAAAAGTGGCGGGGCCGCCTGAAGATGGGAAAGGAATGCGAGGGGGACGATCATGATTGGCGCACCAAAGTGCCGCCTCAGCCAATCAAAGCCACGGACGCGCGCTGCGGTCCGTCACTTTAATCGCTCCGGCTCAGAAACAATCCAGAAAACTCCGAAGCGGAGCTGAGGCGGACATGGCGTCTCCCGCGCGGGACAGCCACGTGTGGGTGGGCTCCGAGACGGGCATTTTGAAAGGTAATGAGGACTAGCCGCGTGTTGGGGTGAATCTGGAATGGAGGGTTTAGGGATGGAAGAGATAAGGGACGGGCGGGGAGGCCGGCGAGGGGGGCGGGCAGCAGCTTCTAAGTGTGCATGGTGCCTCTGGGCGTATGTAGAGTGCGAGGGAAAAGAGGCGAGCGGAGAATGGCGAGGGGCAAGTGGAGGGAAGGAAATCCCGGCTGCCTCCAGCTTCACTTGCTCAACCCATATTGACTGACTGGGAAGCTAAAAGGGGCTTTCTAAACCTCTAGGCGAGATGGGGGCAGATAAATGTAATCATAATATAAATTATATAGTATTATTATATATCTCTCACACACACACATCATTGTTATTATATAAATAATAAATAAAGCTGGCGCCAAAGAGGCCACTTGATCCATCATCCAGCAATATTGTCTCTTGATGGGTCCTTGTTGCTCTCTGAGCTGGGTGGTTTTGTTGCAGACGTTTTGTGACCCAACTAGGTAACATCATCAGTGCTAGAAGAGAGAGGAATTTGCTCTCTTTTTATATACTTAGTGGCTTGTCCTATTAGGGTTGATGGAGGTGTTCCTGGTAGTTTCTTGATTGGGCGGTTGTTTACTTATTTATTTACAGTAGTGTATGACATATCATACATGGACTTGCAATATATATTAACATTTCACCTAGATTAGTAAAACACAATAAAATATAAATGTTAAAAAGATTTTTGTTCAGATACCATTGACTAGGCCATCTAATCACTGAAGCGCAGCATCCTTTATATAAGATAGATAGATAGATGATGAGATTAGATAGATGAGATTAGATAGATAGATAGATAGATAGATAGATAGATAGATAGATGAGATATAGATATATAGATATAGATATATAGAAATAAGATACTGGGCCACTATATACTTTCAGGTCCAGTGTCTGATTTTTTTTCCATATAAACAATGCTGAGTTTAAGCAGCAAAGCTGTTTACTGTTTGATTGATTGGCTGAGTTGGTAGTTCCTTGACTGGGTTGTTGTTTTACTGTTTGTCAATCAAGCACTGATACTTAGTTTGGGTCATGAAACATCTGCAAGAACACCACCAAGCTCAGAGAGCACCAAGGATCTCCTCCTCCTCCTCCTCCTCCTCCTCCCAAACCCCACCTCCCTCTTGCACTGATGATGTTACCTAGTTGGAACGCTGAAATGTCTGCAAGAAAACAACCAAACTCAGAGAGCACCAAAGATCCCTCATTTCAACCCTGAACCTACCAATGTTCTCCTTTATTGACAAGATCGTCTCTTGCTGGAAGGTTAAGGGGAGGGGTGGGGGATAGGCTGTTATAATGATTCTTTTCCTTACTCTTTTTCCTGTCGAGTGATATATCTTTCCTCACTTTTAGGGGTCAACCTGCAGAAGAAACAGGCCACAAACTATAGGATGGGGGAAGCAACGCTCAGTCGACAAGAAGCCGTCACTGCCATGTGTTGGGGAGATCCGTACGAATCAGAGGTGACATGGTCTTCCTTTTCTGCTTGTGCTTGACTGGCTTGGCTGTGAAAAATGGTCATAAGTCACTTTGCTTAAGTACTGTTGTGATTTTGAACGGTCCCTAAATGAACTGTTTGTAAATCGAGGTGTACCTGTACACCACCTCCCTCTTATAGACTATTGGGTTCATTTTAATTCAAAATGTCAGGGATAGGGTTGAACCTGTGACCGTACCTGAGCCATCTAAGAAATGTTAACCCTGAAGATCCGTAAGTGACCTCACGAATCCCGTTGCCTTCTTTTTCCACACAGATCTTTGTGGGAAGCCTCGACGGGTCCGTTCGGTTATTCAGTACCGAGAAGGGCAAGTTTATTGAATCCCGAGACTGCCAGGGAGGTGAGGGACCTTTTTGTGGCTTAGCTATCCTGGAGGGGTAAGTAGTGAATCCCTTTTGATTTTTCCCTTGTCTTGGCAAAAATGGCAGAGTTTTTCCTATTCCTACTTGAGCTAGGAAAGAAAAAATGGAAACAAACCTTCAATAAGCATCGCACAATTACAACTTGAAGACTTTGACGCACTCGTCCTCCGAGCCCACACAGTTAATGTGGCACCACTGTTTTTGTCAGCTCTGTCCCCAATTTTAAATACAGCCCTGGGATACCCCCCCCCAAAAAAAAGATTTCCCAGCTCTGATTTAAGAGTTCTAAAATAATGAAACTGACTGCAAAATATAACTCTTGTCAATAGAGGCAACCTTCCATTTGGATGGCTACTGAATTGTCATGGTTCCAAACCATATCAGATCTTTCTGTATTTGTATATCTTGCCCTGAAAAAATATTTCACTGCCTTTGTTTTTGTTTTTTGTTTTTTTTCTTCCTCCTTGCAGTTCCCTTATCACCTGTGTGGAGTCGGGGTTGATGAAAATCTGGCGGGATTCCTCCTCAGAAAATGTAAGCGTTGCCTTGTGTTCATCGTGAGGCCTGTGCTGTTAAAGATGGAAATTTAAGATTGCTTTTCTCTAAGGTTTTTTTCCTCCATGGATGACATCTGTATTGGGATGGTTATAGAGGCGATATATATTTGTAGTTTTGTGTTGGCCAAGAAATTGACTCTGCATAAACTTAACTGTTTACCTCAATCTTTCCCGATCATGGTTAGGAAATCAGAAAGCGTGTGTGAGCACCCTTCCAAACTTCATTTATATCCCGCCTTTGTTATTTTTATAAATAACTCAAGGTGGTGAACATACCTAACACTCCTCCTTCCTCTTCCTATTTCCCCAAAACAACCCTGTGAGGTGGGTTGGGCTGAGAGAGAGGAACTGGCCGAAAGTCATCCAGCCGCCTTTCATGGCTCAGGTAGGATTTGAACTCGCCGTTTCCTGGTTTCTAGCCTGGTGCCTTAACCAAGAGACCAAACTGGCTGTCTATTAAAAAGCATAACGTATAAATATTGACTTGCTAGTCAGAAAAAGAACTATCAAGCTCCTTGTGTTTTTAATTCCTTAAAGTATAGACCAATACTTTTAATTCCTTAAAATATACACCAATACTTCCCAAACTTGAGTAAACTGTTTCAGATTTGAGTAAAAAAAAAAATTTTTTTTTTTAGTAACAATATACAAATCCATTCATGGTGTCCTTTTTCCTTTTTCTACTGTTTTTTTCTTTCTTTCATTCCTTTGTATTAGTGCAAATCAAATCATTTTATTACATCCATATGGCCAGAAACAGTAAAATGGTAGGCTAGTTACATACATACATATTTCAAAACGCGCTAAGCGTCATCTAACGATGAATGCGAGCACATATAGTAAAATTACTTTTAAAAAGTAGTATTAAAAAAAAAAGATGAATGTATCCAAACAAATAATGGTCCAAGGGCCTTGAGTTATAGCTGTTTGTTCAGCAACCACTTCATCTTTATTTCAGCCAAAAGGACACGTCTTTTGATTTTTTAACTACTGCCAGTAGAATGTTTAATAAAATCATATATTTTTTCCTCAAAAAAGAAGGGAAACTCATCACTCACCAAGTTCTCCTTTCTGGCAGGTGGAGGTTCAGGTGGGGCCCGGCGTCTGCCGCATGAGGCAAAGCTCCGAACAGCCCCACCGTATCGCCACGGGGGGGAAAGAGAATTGCCTGAAAATATGGGACCTGCACCAGCCTCAGGAACCGGTTTTCCGAGCCAAAAACGTGAGTAGTTTTATTGGCGTGCCTGGATTTGTGTTTGTAAGCCGGTTCATTGCCTTGGCTTTGCAATTTCGGACCCAAGGTCTCTTCTTTGCATGATTTCTTTGTTCCTGTCACAGGTGCACCATGATTGGCTTGACCTGAGGGTACCTATCTGGGACCAGGACATGGAATTCTTGCCTGGATCTGAGAAGATTGTGACCTGCACCGGACATCACCAGGTACTGTAGTAGCCGGTTAAGATACATGAGCTCTTCAGCTACTCAAAGCAGTTTATGGCTGGTCAGTTGGATTTGGCCTAGCAGTAACTACACTAGATAAGTCCCAACTAGCATTGCTCTTGAAATAGATTTAGGAACTGTGTCTCCTCCAGAATATGGGAATGAGAGGCTAGTAGTCCAAAGGAAAAGAAGAGAGGAAGGAATGGATGAGAAGGAAGGAAGGGATGAGAAGAGGAAGGAAGGAAGGGAAAAGGAGGAAAGAATGGATGGAAAGAAAGGAATGAAGGAAGGAAAGGAGCGAGGAAGGAATAGGGAAAGAAGACAGAAGGGATGGATGAGAAGAGAAGGAAGGAATGGATGAGAAGGAAGGAAGGAATGGATGAGAAGGAAGGAATGGATAAGAGGAAGGAAGGGAAAGGAAGGAATGGATGGATGGATGGAAAGGAATGAAAGGAAAAAGGAGGGAGGAAGGAAGGGATGGATGGGAAGAGGATGGAAGATAGGAAAAGGGGAGGAGAAAGGAAGGAATGGATAGGAAGGAAGGAGAAAGAAAGGAATGGATGGGAAGAAGAAGGGAAGGAATGGATAGGAAGGAAGGAGAAAGAAAAGGAAGGAAACAGATGGGAGGAAGGAAGGAAAAAGATGGAAGGAAGAAATTGAGAAAATAGAGGAACGCCCCCCATCTCTAGCTATTGTGCCTCAAAGGTATTTCATTTATTTTAATTATTGCATCCTGTCCTGCTTTTTCTGCAAGAACTCGGCCTGATTCTCTTGATCTTCTGCCTCCAGGTCCGGCTTTACGATCCCAGCTGCCCCCAGCGCCGTCCCGTTTTGGAGGTGACCTTTGGCGAATACCCACTTACGTCCCTCTCGCTCACCTCCGATGCAAAGTGAGTCTCTCTTCTCTGCCCCAAATGGGGCTTTTGGAGAAGGCAGCGCTACGAGCAGGGGCGGCTGTTTCTTGTGGAATAGGACTCTGCTTTATAAAAAAAATAATAATAAGGCAATACGAATGAAAAATGTGCCAGTAAAAGAGAAAAAAAAGATTTTTCTAAAAACAAAACAAAAACCAAACCAGAATGCAAAAGATAAGATGCAGAGAGTTATCCCTGTGGAATTTCAAACCGAACATATTTGAGGAACACAATATAAATCGTTAACAGAACGATAAACAGTAAATAGTTAAAATATTTAAATCGAGAATAGAAATTATTGCTCAAGCAGCAATAGGATTCTAGGGTGGGAAAAAGACACTCAAGTCACAGATGAGGCACGAGAGCTTTTATTATTACAATCCAAGCATGGTTTCCCGTTAGAATTAAATTCTGCATCCAATGTTGAAGGATATCTCCACAATTTAATTAGCTTTTCTTCCAAAGAAGGAATCAAATACTGTATTTTTTTTTTAAATAAAAAACATACGGTATACAAGATCTAACCGCTGATTCTTGTGTGGAGGGAACCATTCGCCTCCTTGGTGATGTTCTATTGCAAAACAAGATTTTAAAAAGACAAAACATATAAACTCTATTTTTTTTCCAGCGCTGTTGTCGTTGGCAGTTCCCACGGAGACGTTGCGGTTATAGATCTACGGCAAGGTATAACTGGTGAAGAAAGAAAAGGGTTTACTTCAAAAGAGAATTTGGAATGCATACTAGGCCTCACTTTCAGGGTCAAAGCAGACTGTGTTTTTCTATGCCCGATTCCCACGGAGTTTTCTTTAACAAGATTGATTAAGAACAAATGGATGATGTGACAACTATTCTGTTTCAGATTGAGAATAGAACGGATATAGGTCCGGATGTGGGTTGTACTATTCTTATTTTGGTGTAGTGCCTGGGTTGTTTATTTTGTATATATTTTCGATTCTAATCCTTTGTGTGTTGCTCAGAGTCCCTGCTGTGAGGTAGGCACCACCACAATCAGGGGACTGGAGGCTAAAACATATAAGGAACGGTTGCTGGAATTGGGAATGTCTAGTTTAATGAAGAGAAGGAGGAGGGGGGACATGATAGCAGTCTTCCAGTATTTCAGGGGCTGCCCCAAAGAAGAGGGAGTCAAGCTATTCTCCAAGGCGCCTGAAGGCAGGACAAGAAGCAACGGATGGAAACTAATCAAGGAGAGAAGCAACCTAGAACCAAGGAGAAACTTCCTGACAGTTAGAACAATTAACCAGTGGAACAACCTGCCTCCAGAAGCGGTGAATGTGCCAACACTGGAAGTTTTAAAGAAGAGACTGGACAGCCATTTGTCCGAAATGGTATAGGGTTTCCTGCCTGGGCAGGGGGTTGGACTAGATGACCTCCAAGGTCCCTTACAACTTTATTATTATTATCGTTGTTATTATTGTTGTTATTATTATTTTGGTGGAAGAGGTCCTTCTTGCAACTTAACCCCCGGGGAACTCTCTGCCACAGGGCGTTTGGTGAAGTGCCTCAAGGGTTTCGCTGGGAGCGTCCGCGCCATCCGGTGTCACCCTACGCTGCCGGTGGTCGCCTCGTGTGGATTGGACCGTTTCCTTCGGCTGCACAACCTCCACAGCCAGCGTTTAGAACATAAGGTAGAGGGCCGTCCTGAGAATTGGGGTACAGAATCTGGAGCTTTGGGAAACACTCTGAATGAAGGGGGGGGGTTTTCTCTTTGAACAAGAGAGGGGCAGGCTTCCCAAAGTTTTTTGTTAAAAATAAATAAATGAGCAAATCTGTTCTTTTCTTTTTTAAAAAACTTCTTACTGAGTCTGTATCGATTGCAGGTTTATCTCAAATCCCGATTGAACTGCCTCTTGCTGACCACTCGGGAAAAATGGGAGGTAAGTTATCATAACCACGCGGTGTGTTTTCTGTGGGTGGGTGTGCGGCTGTCGTAACTTTGAAAATGGTCTGTCAGTAGCTTTTGAGGAGTCCATTGTAACTTTGAGCAAGTGTTAAAACGGCCCGGGAAAAAAGTTGCCACTTTAATACTTCAAATTAATTGGCAATCCAAAGGTCAGGAAGTTGAAAAGTCTTAGCAAATCACACACTCAGAAACTGAAGTGGAATTCAGATTTGATTTAGTAAGCTGACATCTCTGCTTAGACAGAGCCATGCAGAAGAGGGATATATTGGAAATTTAAAATGTTTTTTTCTGAGCTAAACAGTCGGTTGCAACAGCCGGTTGTTTAGCTGTCCCATATTGAGCAAAGCCAGTTTAATACATATATTAAATAANAGATAGATAGATAGATAGATAGATAGATAGATAGATAGATAGATAGATAGATAGATAGATAGATAGATAGATATAGACCAGTGGTGGCGAACCTATGGCACGGGTGCCAGAGGCGGCACTCAGAGCCCTCTCTGTGGGCACGCGTGCCGTCGCCCCAGTCCTAGACCTTCAGCTGGGTTTTATAAAACCTTTTCGCTTTAGGCCTCCGCCATCGTGTGCAAAAAAAAAAAAAAAGGTTCAGTCAGTCAATTTCAACTTCTCACGGAAAAAAAATCTTGCAAAGTTGGAATTGATTGATTGAACTTTGTACTCCCACCCAGTCTGCCGTTACCACTGCAGCCACGCCCACTCAATGGGCCACACCCACCCCTCACCCGACGATGCATAAGTGGGTTTTGGGTTGCAGTTTGGGCACTCGGTCTCTAAAAGGTTCGCCATCACTGATATAGATGATAGATAGATAGACAGGCATACAGAACCACAATTGCAACCCGTCATAAACACGAACAAGTTGCCAAGCATCTGAATTTTGATCCCATGACGTGGGGCGGCTGCAATGGTCGTAAGTGTGAGGAACGGTCCTAAGTCCCTGTTTTTTCAGAGCTGTTCTAACTTCAGTCACTACTGCGAGGCCTGTCTCCAGTCCTGAGCTGCATTATCCTCCCACAATCAACCAGTGAGGTTTACGGGAGATTGACAGCTCAGTTCCCCTCTGTTTTTTTCTCTGTCTTGCAGAGCGAGGACCTTGAGCCGTCCATGAACCTCCCGGACGAGGTGAAAGAGGAAGAGGACGAATTATGGAACTCCCTGGAAGTGGTGGCTTCCAAGCGGAAAGCCGATGAAGGTCTTGGCGCCAGGACGGAAAGTCCCAAACCCTCCAAGGACACGGCCGCGAAAAAGCAGAAGAAAATGAAAAAGGCCAAATTATGTTCGCGGTGAGAGGTACAAGCTCTACCTCTTTAACACAGAGCTGGCAAACGCTCAACTTGCGGGTTCCTTAGGCAGGGGTCCCCAGCCCCTGGGGCCATGGACCGGCCCTGTTCCCCGGCATGCCAGCAACCGGTTCACACAAACAAGCGAAGCCCCATCTGTGAGATGCAGGCAGCATGCAAAACCACACCCCCTCCATCCACGGGGGAAAAAACCTCTCTCCACGGAACCGGTCCCTAATGCCCCAAAGGTTGGGGGCCGCTGCCTTAAGGGACTGCCAGGCCTGGCTGAAATGTGGTCCCTTAGTCAAGAAAAACATCCTCTACTCCATGTGTATTGGGAAAAGGTTACTATTACTAAAGCCAAGTGGTTTTACAGTAAGCAAAGCCAGAGCTATGAGTTTGAGCACAAAAGTCCTCTAGTTAGCGTTCTCTTCCCTGGTCCACCCCTCCACCCCACTGTCCAGTCACATTCAGAGAGGATGTTTGGAATAGAATAGAATAGAATAGAATAGAATAGAATAGAATAGAATAGAATAGAATAGGAAAAGGAATGCAATGGAATAGGAATAGGAAAATGAATAGAATAGAATAGGAATAGAATAGAGAAACGAATGGAATAGAATAGAATAGAAATAGGAAAAATAGAATACAACAGAATAGAATAGAATAGACAAAGATGGATGGGACCTTGTAGGTCATCCAGTCCAACCCCCACCTCTCCCAAGCAGCAGACCCTACACCATTTCTGACAGATGGGAACAGTCCCTATCATGGTTGGTAGATGGTTAAGCTGCTGCACTCCATTCCCAGAGATGTCTCTGGACAGGAAATTGCTGGCTGAGGAATTCTGGGAGTTGAAGTCCACAAGTCATAAAAGCGCCGAGTTTGAAGACCCCTCCCCCCCTGCTATAAAACCTCGAATAGGATAAAACATTAACATTAAAATCACCCCATACTTTCCAAGCTCGCTTGCCACTTGATCCTTTCACACGACCTTCTGCTCACACACCCCCCTCCAAGGAAATGGGAGGGGTGGGTTTTTTTTCAGAATTAACCATGGTTTTTAGTTCTCCCCCCCCTTGTTGCAAATTAAAGTTGGTTTAATTAGGGCGGGGGCGGGGCGGGGAGCCGGGAAAGACGGGGGTCTGCCGGGCGTCGCGTTTGGAGGGGGCGATCCCCGCGATCTAGTTGTGCACGGGTGGGTCAAGGGGCGGTGGGGGGGGCGGCCCTGTGACCTCACAAAGCCCCCAGGGCGTTGGAGGCGGCGGCGGCGCCGAGTCCGTTACTGGGGGGGGCGCGGCCCCCCGTCCAGGCGCCGCGGCGGGCGATGGGCTGCGTGGAATCCAAGGAACGGCATTCCGACGTGCACGAAGACACGGGTCAGAGCCCCAGAGCAGCGACTCCGCCGCCGGTGGAGGAAAAAAGTGAGCGGCCGTCCGCGCGGCGGAGGGCTTCCCCCGCCAGCCGAAGGGAATCCCCGCGGGGGATTCCGCTCCACGTGGGTGGGCGGGGCTTCCCGAAGGAACGTTCGCGGAGCCGCGGGGCGGGGCTCTCGGCGAGAGGGCGGGGCTTATGCACATGGATGGGAGTTCTCTCTTTCCCCCCCCCTCCCCAGATCGTCACTATTAGGGATGGGAAGGTATTTCTGTGCCTGCCTTTCTTCAAACGGGTCGTGGGAATGTGTTTTCCCAACCTGGGTCTCTAGCACATCTGTAAGGGGTGTCCCAAAGGGGAAGATTGAGCTGGGAAGTATTCCTCTTTAAACTTGATGAAGCTTGGGCGTTTCAGTCAGAATACAGCTGGAAGGGACCTTGGAGGTCTTCTAGTCCAACCCCCTGCCCAAGCAGAATAATAACAGAGATGGAAGGGACCTTGGAGGTCTTCTAGTCCAACCCCCTGCTCAAGCAGGAGACCCTGTACCATTCCAGCTAGGTGGCTGCCCAGTCTCTTCTTTTAAAAAACCCCATTGTTGTCGCACCCATAACCTCTGGTGGCAAGCGGTTCCACTGGTTAATTGTCCTTCCTGTTAGGAAGTTTCCCCTCAATTCCAGGTTGCTACTCTCCTTGATTGGCTTCCATTCATTGTTTCCTGTTCTTGTCTTTGACAAGAGCACCAGAGATTAAAGAATGTATTAAAATGTTATTAAACATTAAAATAGTAGGATTCATAAAATTAAAGAATTAATTCAAAGGAGGTTAAGAAGGCACCTTTTCCCCTTCACCTTCATCCCACTTGGACTGAGGGCAGTCCGAGGAGAAATGATTAATTATTATTATTATTATGGTTGGAGCTACAGTCAGCCTAGATGCTAATGCTGGATTTGACATTTTTTTGTCCTGCGATTGAGACCTTCCCAAGGATCTGGGGATAGGCAGACGTTGTCTTGAGGATTATTATTATTATTATTA